AAGTCTGAATTTTTTCTTTTTTTGTAGGGTATTTATAGTATTTTACTGTAAAATTTCGGTTAAGTATTTGGTCATAGGCTCTGCATCATCTGGTGGGCTTCACATGTCACCTGCAGCTTCCCCAAAACTCCCCCAAAATTCCCACTGTATTTCTTATACTGACCCGAAATAAGCCAAACCGTGATGGGGAGAAGTAGCTATGTGGAAGGGACAACTGTAGTTCTTTTGGCTGCCATATTATGGTGTTAACTCATCTTGAACTTGTAATCTACTAAAACCAGCAGGAAGCAGGGCTAGCAGAGGCAGTATGATGGAAGATATTGGTAGCCTTGCATCACTGAACACATGAATTGTCTCTACATACATGTGTTCTCACATAAGTTCCCTATTTACGTATCCCTCCGTTTGGGTGACTAGGTGGCAGAGTAGAGAGAGCACCAGGTCTGAAGGCAAAAAGACTCATCTTCCTCAATTCAAATCTGGCCTCAGATACAGGGGAAGTCACTTAACTCTGCCTCAGTTTCCTCACCTATAAAATGAGCTGAAGAAGAAAATAGCAAACCACTCCAGAATCTTTCACCAAATAATGTCATGAAGAGTCTGACAACAACAACAATAACCATTTGTCTTCCCAAGATGTGCATACCCTTCCCATTGATGATATGGGTATTTATAGGAGAGTAGGCCCCAGGTTTATGGAGGAAATGCTGTATTATTACTTTTATTATTATGCTATTTCATTAAATGTTTTTCTTCTAAATTAGTTTTATGCTTTGCCTGACTAGTAAAATAAGGGTATTTGTTTGGGGTTGGGAGTGTGGCTCTGAGTGCCTAGGAGGGCCCTACGTGGAAGAAGGGGTGCTTTTGTGCTGTACAGGTAAGGAAACGAAGCCAAGAAAGGAAAGGAACTTGTTCAAAGACACAGGCTATGTGTCAAAGGGCTAGTCTTGTTTGCATCAAACCCACTGGCTTGAAGATCTATTCCCCTGAGCTAGTGAATAGCAGGCAAATGAAAAACTTTCCTTTCTGAATTATTCATTAGTAAAGTATGACTTCTCCCAGAGTAAGTTTCTGGTACAAAAATCTCCTATGTAACTAGTGGCAGAATAAACAATGTATAGGAATCTCTCCCCCCACCCCTCCCTGACTTGGACATCACTTATCCAATATCCTTATTTATTTGGAATATAGCAGGAAATATGTCTGCCTCCCCCCCCCATCCCCAGAAAAAATAAAAGTATCTCAGTAGCCAAAATAGTTATCACAAAGCCCATGCACTTTACTATATAGGCCAAACCCTCTGGCTTCCATTCAAAGAATTAAAACTTTAATGTAATTAGAATACTAACTTTAAATTTTAAATTTAAATTTAATAATTTAACTTTAATAAATTTTAAATAAAATGTTTTTAGTAATTTTATAATTTAAATAAATGTATACATTTTAATTTTATAAAGAACTCAGATAAGTCTGTTTATCTGATTCTCTAGCCTCTGCTAAATGCACATCTAACATGGAAGTGAAAGGAGGCTGGTTGAGCAGTCAAGCAGTAAATACTGATAGCTTGACAGCAAGGGAGAAGGTTAAAAAAACCCTATAAAAACATACTTAAAACTTTGTAATCTTGTGCATTTTATTTTATTCATTTACAACCATTATTCTAAGTAGAGGGTTCCATAGGCTTCCCCAGACTAACAGTTAAGAGCTCCTTCTTTAAAATGTCAAGTGCCCATAGGTATCTTCGGCTTAAGAATGAGCCCTGTAGCTGAGGAAAACATAGACAAGAGACCGAGACGCTTTTTTTTAAAACTTTTTTTTTTTTTTGTTGTTGTTAAAGAAACTGCATACATCATCAGAGACAAACAATAATTTAAATACCATGCAGTTTCTGTATGTACAAAACCCAGGACACAGAGATCCAGTTTAATTGTTCTCCTATTTACAGATAATTTCTTGTTCATGATCTGGTCAATTACAATACTTAAAGAGCACAGGATTTGACAGCCACCACACTCACTCCTATACAAAGACGAGCTACGTACAGACGCTGCAGCTGGTTCTGGATTTAATAGACATGTGGGAAAAAGCCATTTCAGGTGCCCTCGACTAACTCTGTGCATGAAGGAATGTTAAAGATACCATTCTTCTGAGTGCCTGTCACCATATTGATTCTGCAGTTTGTAAATGCTACCTTCTCAAGAAGGGAAAAGAATGAAACCTTGACAGTTGTTTCTATTTCACTGACCATCACTCTGTGCAATTTCTCTAACTGAATGGAAAGCCCCAGGTTTGGGGGATTCACTATGTCCTTGGATGCAGAAACAATATCATTTGTGTGGAGTAGTGGCATCAGACTTGGAAGTCAGGAGGCTTAGGTCCAAATCCTAGAGCCGCTACTTACTATGTGACCTGGGGAAATTCTTGACCTTTCTGAGTTTCAAATTAAGAGGTGGAGCTAGATAATTTTAAAGGTCCCTTCCAATTCCAATCTGTTGTAATTGAGGATGAACTGGCCTTAGAACAAAAAAAAAATAGAAATACACATAGCAATCTTTTTCATCCAGCATTAAGGAAAGTCTATGTTTGGTAAAGTTAACCTTGGTTAGAAATATCACATCTTCCCCTCCCCCTTCTTAAAATAAGCCAGATATTCAAATATTTGTTTAGAAATAGCACATTTTTTTCTTATGATAATCCAGATGTTCAAATGATTTTTAAGTACTGGGAATTCATATCACACAAAAGAAGCCTTCATTTAAAAACTACAGCTTCCTCTGAAGAGGGATGCACTTTAAACAGAATCTAGGCCACTCCTCTTCTATCTGAATTGGAGTCAAAGTCTTACACAGTAATGTGTATTGGCTCAGTTGACATAGCAATGTGGTAAAAAAGAAATGACAGATTTCCACAGAGAACTCAAGATATTACAAAAACAGCCATAGATTAGAGGGCCTCAGCCTGCAGTCCATACTTGTTGGTGCTACCCATGGCAGATGGTGGGAGTCAGGTGGGTGTAAGAACCATATAAATGAAGCTGGAAATAGCCCACCTTGGCTCTGCAAACACAATCCCACTGTTGTTAGAGGGCTGTGAGGATACACATCTGACGGTGCCAATGATGCCTTGGGAAAAAGGTGCTCTGCAGGAAGGCAAAAATAAATTTGGCTAATCTTCCTGTGTATAAAGTGGACTGCAGTAGTTCGGCACTTTGGGGAGAAAACCCAGGTATTTTGCTGGTTGGCTCCTTGTGAGATACAGGGATGTTGTTACACTGAGCCCTCAGAGGACTTGAAAAGCAGAGTGAAGGCATCGATAAACCTCAGTGAGAGGGATCGAGCCTACAGAAGATGCTTCCTCCTACTCTGAGGGAAAACCAGGGGTATTGTATCTCATGAAGAAGTTACTGGAAGCTGCCGGAGATGAGACTGGTATGGGCAAAACCAATTCCCCTCAACCTGGAAACCAACACAATTCCAGCACCTTCAATACTGGGTATAGGAATCAAACAATAGGGTCTTAAATTTTTCATCAAGTCACTTTCACATTCACATGTCAGTAAGCCTTTTGGGAAGATCTTATTTACAGCGGTATTAAAATCCTGACACATTCTCCCTGAACAAAATATCTCCCCAAGACAATAGTGGAACTCAACATTTGAATAAAGACAAAAAGCCTCAAGAATAACATACACGCCAAGATGGACCTGTGAAATGCTCTTCCCTGATGGCATGGAGGAACTCATGGCTGAGAGTCCCTTAGCTGGTGAGCTCTGTCCCGAGGAACTATCCCGAGCTGGCCCAGATACATGCTGACCCCTTGAAAGTAGCATGACACCAGCTGCTGGCAGGAATTTGAAGAGAGATTTCCTCCTGCCATAATCAAGTATCCTGTGTGTGGTGTTGGTGGTGGTGGTAGAGGTGGAGGTGGAGATGGTGATGGGATTATCTCTCTTTTTGTTTGCATGAAGGCCTAGTGAGTTTACCTCTAAGCAAAATGTAAATGAGGTGGAGAATCCAGGGATCACACTAAGTTATTAGAGTGACAAGCAAATTTTAAGATATCCAGGTAGAACTTTGCCATTTAGGACTTATTGGCTCTCTCAAAAGCAAAACTAAAACAAATATAATTCCCTTGAGAGATAGTAGTTGTTATGCCCAGAGTTGCCTTTTTCATTATAATGCACTGAGAGATTCATATTCCCCCAAGATCAGTGCATTTTCTTTTTACTGCCCAGATCAGGCCAACCATCTCACAGATAAACTCATTCTTATGTGCATTATGAAAGAGATGAAAAAAAAATTCAAGCTGGTTTTAAAGGATCAATAGGGTGCACCATAGGATGGCTGGTGTTCATATCTGTACAATTCTGATGCATGCTGAGCTCACGTAGAATCACCAATGCATCTCCAAGTGAACTCTGCAAAGCAAAAGAGGAGCCACCAAGTGTGGTATTTTTAGAGGACGGGCCCATCTGTTATTTAAGGACCAATGTCAATGGCATGAACTTTTGCATTCAGCCTTCAAACTCTGGTGCTGCGCCCAGTTCACTTCCAAGACATATATAACCTTAAATCGTGCACTTGACAAAAACCAGCATTGGAGCATGTTAGGAAAATTAAGAACATTAGCCAAGAAGAGGAGCTGCCTAGACCCTTGTTCCCATAAAGCAGGTCTTACACATACATGCCCACATAGCCATTGTACCTTAATAATATTCAGGTAGGTGTGTGTGTGTGCGTGTGTGTATGTGTGAACACCAGTGACATTCTGATTTCTTAACACTTGTGGGTCATCCACCTTTCATTAAGAAAAAAAATGCTGATTTTATTCATTCTAAGCAAGTTTTGTGGGAAAGAGACATAGCTTTGGTCTGAGGTGATTCTATCAGTTACCCAGGATGAACTTTCTTTTTCTTTTCTTTTCTTTTCTTTTTTTTTTTTAGGCAATTGAGGTTAAGTGACTTGCCCAGAGTCACACAGCTAGTAAGTGTCAAGTGTTTGGTCTGAGGTCGATTTGAACTCAGGTCCTCCTGACTTCAGGGTGGTGCTCTATATACTGCACCACCTGGCTGCCCCCAGGATGAACTTTCTCTTCCTCAAGGCGCACACACCTCTTGTGACCAATAGTAGATTATAAACTCAGGTAGAAAAGGGTTTTCCTTTGTGTTCAGTATATGGAGGATGGAGACAGGGATGGAATGCAGGGAGTGCAGGGAAAGGGATCACTGAGAGCAGCACTCCCCGACTGTTTCCTCCTCTTAAGGTGCTCCCCAAAGCAGAAGTCACGTTTGGTTTAAGTGCTTGGGACTTTACTTAAAAGGCCAGTCTGAACTTTTTTACTTTGTACAGTCATTCCCAGAAAGAAACCCATTGCCTCAGCTTTCTTTGGAGTTGAGTGATAGACGCTTGCGAGGATGAGGGTGGTTGAAGACAGAATGAATGCAGTTACCAGCTGGGCTTGGACAAATAGGACACATCCACATGCCAGAAAGTCTTAAAATGAGGACGCCAAGCTGTTGTCCTTGGCCCTGCCAGGGTGGGGTGAGGGGTATTTCACTGTCAGAAGTTAATGTCAGCAGGTCTGATGACTGGTAACCATCAAGTTTACAGATATGTATAATATATATATATATATATGTATATATATATAATCCTCATTTATGTTTATTTTTTCTTCTTTTCTCTTCTTTTAAAAAAAGGCAGTTCAGAAGATTTACATGGTAATGGGAGAAGTGAGTAATACCAGCACTTATGGTTCTTATAAATTCATGTTTTGAAGACAGCATAGCACTCAAGTGGAATTCAATTGCTACGGTCGGTGAAACCTAAGGAAACAAAAGCCAAAAAAACAGGGAAGTGAGACAGGTGATGACATGACCCTCCACCCCTCAAAATGGGGTCCTCAGGCACACTTGTCTTATTTGTAATGCTCCCTTTACAACATCAATCAGTCAATAAACATTTGTTAAATGCTTACTATGTTCCAGGCACTGGAGATATCAAGACAAAAAAAAAAATAAAAGTCTTTTGCCTCAGGGAACTTAAATTCTAAAATCTCCAAAAGGTGGTTATCCAGTCTCTGAAGGCCTTTAGTGGTGAGAAATTTGCAGTATTTATATTGGATCATAAGCTTCTTGAGGAAAAGGACTGAACTTAAAAACCTAAAAAAAAAAACCTTTATATATATAGTATCTAGCAGAGTTCCATGACATAATGTGTCTAATAATTGCTTGTTGGGTATAATTGAATCCAATTTTTATCTTTGCATGTAAAAAAGACGAAGGCTCACATTGACCCTTTGTGTGAAGCAAGGTCAAATACCCACAGGGAATGGCAAAGAAACTGATGAATGGCTCTCAAAGAGCAAGGTCAGGGAACTCCTAACACTCTGAATACCTGACAGAGGCATTTTTACCTTTTTTTCCTCCTTTGTAACTAAAGACAAAGAAATGGACCAAGTATCAATTTAGGTTCCAAGTGATCATAGGAAAAGTTGCTACTTCTGTGGGCCTTAGTTTTTCTATACGTCACATGTTGATGATAAATACCTACTAGCTATATCTCAGATACTATAATAAGCCTTCTGCTCCTCCACCATCTTCACAATCATCCCACTGGAACCTTGGATTCTAACCTTGGATCTCCCAGCTCTGATAGATGAATTTTCATCTTATCTTGCTGGAAAGCAGGATTCTACACCACTTTACCATGTCATCCCCCACCCCCACCCCAACTTCCAGCATCTCTTTATATTTTGTCTCTCTATACTAGAATGTAAGATCCTTGAAGGCAGGAACTTGCTTGCTTGTTTGTATTTGTATCCCTACCACTTAATGCTAAGGAACAGTAGTGCCTGACAAATAGTAAGCATTTAATAAATGCTGTGTCTCTCTGTCTATATCTATCTAAGCTATCTATCTATCTATCTATCTATCTATCTATCTATCTATCTATCTATCTATCCGTTTGTCTGTCTGTCTATCTATCTACCTACCTATCTATTTATGTACCTACCTACCTATCTATCTATCCATCCATCCATCCATTCATCTAACCATCAATCATCTATGTTGATATCTATATTATCTATCGGGATAGTCAAAGTAGGTTAGACTTTGGAAACTGTAATGTGCAAGCCAAATCAAAGGTCATGATCTTTTTTGGTATTTGGCTTTCCTTCTGGGGGAGCCTGACAAGTGTCAAATGAGTAGAGATGATTCCTTTTTTCCTGCTTTTACCTTTCATAAGAATAGTCTCAGGGATGCCTGGAAACTAAATAAGCTAGGTATTTACATTTCTAAGGTATTTTGATAGCGCTCCAGGATGTTTTTGAATTTGGGGTTTATGTCTACCCTTCTCTGGGGAGGAAGAGGAAGATAGTGGCCCACGAAGAGAAGGCTTATTGTGGATGGCCTTCTGAGCTAGACTCTGTAGGTAGTTATCATTGCTGTGTGACATGTAGAGAAGCTGAAGGCCACAGAGGTAGCAACTTGCCTGTGGTCACGTGGCTAGTTCTAGGACTAGAACCCAAGTAAACTAAAATCTAAGGTTCCCAGAAAATGACTTTTAGCCCACATCTGACTTTTTTCCACTGAAAAGTATGACACAATTAATTTCACATCCCTAGGGAATAACCTAATGTTAAACTCTTTCCCTCTGACCTTTGATCCATAGTTCAGAACAGTAGGCTGGGAGTCAGGAGCCCTGTGGGTTAGTGTCTAGTCATTGAACCATCATTTTCTAGCAATGTGACTATGGATTAGTCACTTGACCTCTTTGAAGATCACTTTCCTCATTTGTAAAATGGTAATAAAATGATAATAACATTTCTACTTCCTTCACAGGGCTGTTATGAGGAGATTATGTTCTAAAACATCATAGACAATGTAAATTTTCATCATTGTCTGTTAAAAAAAGTGAGTACCTGTCAACAGGGTTTTAGTAAAGATGAAAATGAATTAAGATATTTTCACAGTATTTTGTAAACTCTTAAGCACTAAACCAACTATGTCTATGTGAGGCAGCTTGGCATGGGGGCTAGAGTGCTAAGCTTGGAACCAGGAAGACCTAGGTTCAATCCAGTCCTGAATACTTTTTAGCCATGTAATCATGAGCAACTCACTAAACCTCAGTTTCCTCACCTGTAAAATGGGGATGATGACATCTCATCACGGAATGCTTCGTTCCTTCACCACTTCTTCGTTTTCTTGGCTTCCTTCCAGACTTAGCCCAAATCCTACTTTCTACAGGAGGCCTATTCTGGTTTTCCAGCTGCTAGTGGCTTCCCCTTTCAGACTTACTATATAATTTGTACGTACCAAGATACCCACATGCTGTCTCTCCCATTAGAATGTCTGAGGGCAGTACCTTGCTTTGCCTTTCTTTGCATCCTCAGTGCTCCGCATAGTGCCTAATGGGTTCAAAGTGCTTTGATAAACTGCTTATTGACTGACTGACTCAAAGGCAGTCGTTGTCTGTCAAGCGACTCTGCAGACTTTTAAAGTACTGTATGCTTTAAATACCAGTTACTATTATTAATAACAACGATGATTATTATCTTTCCTCGTAACTACACCAAGGACATCAATCTTGAAAGCGGGAAAACTGTCTAGTTTAGAAGCTGACATTGCTTACTAGTAATTTTTAAAAAGTTCTTAAAAAGCATCTACTACCCACCTTGTTAGATGTCTACTTAATTCATGAACTTCCATTTCAGTGCTTTTAAATTCATTGAGCTCCTTCCGAATGGCAGCCTGAAATAAAGAGTGGCCCGTAAATATGTAAATAGAAAGATGGGAAGAAATACATTAGTTTTATTTCAAACAATACATTTTCTTAAGCGATGGAAATAAAAGGCCATAGAATGGATTCTTTTACACAGAGAATAAACAACCCAACACCTGAGAAGCCCCTTTAGAACCTACAAAAGAATACCTAGACTCTATAAACTGCAAATCATGGGAGGTAAATGCATTTCTTTTTTCTTTCCTGTCTCCCCTTATTCTCTTCTCTTTCCTTCTACTTTTCTCTCTCCCTCTGACTCTGTCCATCTCTGGCTCTGTCTGTCTCTGTGTCTCTGTGTGTCTATCTCTCTAAACCTTCTACATATAGTCATCAAATCAATAATGGATGTATATCTCCACAGATAAATCATGACCATGCTCAGACTTAAGTGTCAACTTTTTTCTTACTGAAGTGAATAAACAAAGTTGTTGCCAGCTACCAGGATTCCTTCAAAAACAAAATACAAAAATACATCGAGAAGTGCAAGAGTTTGCTAGCTGTCTCCCACTACCCCCTCCCCCTATTCTTTATTTATGAATACTTGTTACTTTATCAACTCCAAGGTAATATACTGTCATCAACTTGTAGAAGCTGGTGTATCTTTGGGAAAAAAATAAATCCCAATCTTTTCTACTCCACCCTTCACAAATTCATTCCCACTGCCCTGTCCAATGGTGAGGTTAGAACAGAGAGTGATCAGGTCCTGGTGGTGTTGGGCATAGTGGGGAGAGGATGAGGTTGAGCTTAGGAGAGGTCGAGGGTGAAAATAACAGTAAGAAGTTCTCACTTTTTTCTTAGGGGTCAAGACTTTAAAAATTAGATGTGTCCTTCATGTTTGATTTTATGCATAGATTGAGTAGCATGAAAGTTCAAGTATGGAAAACCACCAGATTCTCAATGACAGCACACCCAAAGGAAAGGAGAAAGAGGCAGAGAAGGGGAGGAGGTAGGGGCAGAGAGAGCATTATATATTATCCTAGCAAACCGATTATGACAAATGTATGCTCATCTGTCAGGTGTTACTGTTTCCTCTTCTGTTTCCTGTTCATATTTCTCTCTCCAGTCAAATGGGCACATTTTTGAGGAAGTAGATTATCTTATTGCTCAAATAATTATACATCATCTTATCATTGCATATTCACATAGAAATGTGCATATGTCTATATGGTGGCATCAATGACATCAAGCCTGTTCCTGAAGGGTGCTTTGTCTGGATTTGAAATGATTAGTCATGCTATGCTGTGGCAAGAATACTGGTCTTGGAGTTATTTGATGGTCTGAGTTTGAGTCCAGACTCCACCACTTTCACATAATAGCTATATGAGATTTAGTAATTCACTTGCCTCCTCCCTTTGCTGTTTGCTTTGCTGTGAATCCTCATACCACCCATCTTAGAAAGTCATCATGAGATGATATTCGCATTATGCATTATAGTCAGTAAAATAATAGAAAACTCCAGTGTTAGATTTGGAATCAGGGGACATGGGTTCAAACCTCACTTCTGCCATGTATTACCCATGTGACTTGCCTCTATGGGCTTCAGTTTCATTGTTTTTAAAATCAAGGGGTTGGACCAGATTTCTGAGGTTCCTTCCAATTCTAAATCGATGATCCTATCTTATGTAAGCTCTTAGTATCCCTTGGTAAACTAGCAGTTGCTGTATTGATTGAGAAGTGAGAGGAAAGTACATAGAGGGCTGGACACTGAGAAGCTCAGTTTCAATACCTGCTTGAAGCCCAAGTGCCATAGTAAGAGAGGATCGTTGTTATTGCTGTTCAGTTGTTTCAATTTGACCCTTCATGACCCCGTTTGGGGTTTTCTTGGCAAAGATACTGGAGTATCTTTGGTTTGCCATTTCCTATAGAGGAGGAGCTAAGGGAAATAGGGTTAAGTGACTTGCTGGGGGTCACATAGGTAGTAAGAGTCTGAGGCTGAATTTGAACTCAGGAAGACGAGTCTTCTCGACTCTAGACCCAAAACTGTATCCATTGAGTCACCTAGCTGCCCAGTAAGAGAGATAGGCCATATAAATTGCTTCCTTTACATGGAAATCTATTCTTCTGCTTTCATAACTGTCCATACAAAGCCGTAACTAGAAATTATACATTTAGAAAAAGCATCACTAAATTCACCTAGGAGAAGGAACAAGGATGGTGGTCCCTCATGAAAGTTTATAATTCATAAGAAAATAATACAAGAAGCTGAGTGTGTGTGTGGGGGGTGAGATGAGAAGTGGAGTCAGTCATTACATTGGCTTCTTTGCTACTGAAGGAGTGCATGTGTTAGTTTTTTGCACACTAAAAATTTTGGTGCTCTAGAACAAAGCCTTTGTCCTAGTTATAGCTCTGGTCCACACAATGACATCAATATATTAGGGCCAGGAGAGACAGGTACACATAGAAAGTACTGGTTGCCCAATCTACAGCCATGATCATGAAGAAGTTACACTCTTGAGGAATTTGTTATAAGGCACTCTTATAGAATTCATGATATGGAACTACTTTCAGAAGCTTTGGTCCAATTTGCCTAAATCTTTAGTCCCTACAATGCCAAGTGGAAATATGGAAGTTCTTCTTCCTTTAGCAAGGCCAACAAGGACCTAGACAAAAACAAGGTTTAGATGTTGCCATTCTTATCAGTGAATCTCCCATAGTCCTTTCACTAGGCATAGGACATAATGCATAGTGAGTTATTTCTCCTTCTCTCCCTCTCTTACTCTCTCTCCTTCCCTCCTTTCCCCCCTCTCTTTCTCTCTGTCTCTGTCTCTCTCTTTGTAGAATGAAATGTGGGAAGTGCAGGACATACTAAGGGTAGCACCCAATCCTTGCCAAGGAGCCCAGTCCTTGGCAAGAGTGTTCCCACTTAGATAGTACCTGGGACTACCAACACTTGGCTGTTCTTTAGGAATTTATTCCTGTTACCTTCAATCTAATGGAGACAATAGGCGCTAAAAGAGAAGGTAGAAGTAGGAAACATGTATTAAGCACCTACTATGTATCAGGCACTGTGGTAAGTGCTTTCCAAATGTTATTTCATTTGATCCTTGCAACAACCCTGGGAGGCTGGTGCTCTTATTATCCTCATTTTACAGTTGAGGAAATGATGGCAGACAGAGTTTAAGTGCTATGTCCAAGGTTCCACTGTTAGTAAGTGTCTGAGGCTGGATTTGAACTCAGGCCTTCCCAACTCCAGGTCCAATTCTTTATTCATTAAGCCATCTAACTGCCTCTATGAAGAGAAGGACCAGAGTAGCCCTAGCATAGATAGATAAGTGTTGTAGGGCTATTGTTGCACTGATGCTTTTGAGGGCCAGGATGAGAACAGATGTATGTGGGGCAATAATTGATTGGCAGTCTTGTAAAAATATTGAATTTTTAGTCAGTTATTTATAATTCAATCTATTTAGAATTTACTAAGTGCCTACTAGGTGTCAGGTATTGTGTTAGGTGCCAGAGTTACAAATACAAAAACTGAAACAGTCCCTACTCTCAAGGAACTAATACTGATCACCTGAAGTGGGGCACAGTATGTGCACTGTATGTTTTCTGAAGAAATCACTCTACCTTACTTTATTCTTTAAGAATGGGGGTTGGGTTAAGAGTATGGCCAAGAGGTGCACTGCCTCAAGATGACTGAGTTAAAAGTGCTGTAAGTAATTGCGCGTCACTGACTTTATTCAGAAGGCTGGCAAAAAGAGAGAAAGGCAGAGTGTGAAGAGTGGTACTGGTCTATTGGTGACCGGTGGTGAGGAACTAGGATGCAGAAGGGCGTACCTCTTTTGGAGACTGTAAGCTCCTAGCAAGCATATCTTTTAATTAAAGATCAGCTTTTGTACAATATCTAGCTTAGTGTTATATAGGGTGAATCAAAAAGTCTTAAAGTTTACTTTTGAGACTCCTTGTACATACACATAGGTTTTTAGTTAATTTTTAACTGATTAAACTACATGAAGTAGAATCAATGTGTAGGAGAGTCCTAAGCTCGTCTGGCCATTTAGCAACCCCTCTGCAAACATGATTACTATTAAAATTACAGTAAATTACAGTAAAAACTCATTGAGATTCCACTAATTAAAACTAGTGTTAATGAAGACAGAGTTTTCAATCTAATAATCAAACATTTATTAAGGGCATACTATGTGCCAGGCACTGTGCTAAGCCCTGGGAATATAAAAAGTGGCCAAAAATAAAAAGTCCTTGCCTTCAACGAGTTTACAATCTAATGGGGGAGACAGTATGCAAATAAATATTTACAAAGCAGGTTATATACATGATAACTAGGAAATAATTAAAAGAGAGAAAACATAGGAATTAAGTAGGGTTGGGGACAGCTTCCTGAAGAAGTTAAGATTTTAGTTGGGACTTAAAGGAAGCCTGTAAGATCAGTAGTTAGGGTGGAGGAAGGAGTGTGTTTCAGGCATGAGAAACAGTTTAACTTTTATAACTCATTTTGTTCAAATGAGTTTTAAGTTTTGCAAACTTAAGAGTGCTATGTAAATGCTGATTATTATTATTATCATTATTATTACTCTATTTAAAAATGGGTGTGCTAAATGCAACAGCAGGGTAAATAAGATTTCAATAGGAATGTTAGTTTTTTGTTTTGTTTTTACTACCCTTAACCATTTAAGAATATACGTTTTAATTCAAATACTTATTACAAGTAATCTCTACCTCTTTATTAAAGCAAGTTCCCCAAGACATCTGGTTCCTAGCAGTAACTAGCCCTGGATATATCTTGGGCAAGTCACTAAATCTTTCAAAGCCTCCGTTTCATCATCTGTAAGATGGGGATAATAACTCTTGATCACCGCTTGATAAAGTTATTACGAAGATCAGCTGAGATTATGCATATAAAAACTTTAAAATACCATGTTGGTTATTACCAACTATTAAAAAGGGCAACTAGAGTCACAATATTCATTATTTTTGTGCCAAGTATAACATACTTTTTCTCCCTTTCTCTCTAGTTAATCTCAAAGAGTGAAGTTTAACTGCAATTATGTACACAATTCTGCTATATGTGCTCTTATACATTTTCTTACATATCTATTATGACCTGGCTGAAATGAACAGATAAATAAAAGAATTGGGGAGTTGAAAGGTGGCCTTCAGGGACTACCTGGTCCAATTCACACTAGCAACCCCACTGTATTACAACTGATAAGTGGTCATTTGGCCTTAGCTTGAAGACCTTCATAATATATCAGTAAATAAACATTAATTAAGCACCTACTATGTGGCAGGGCACATGTATTATTATTATTATCATTATTATTATTGTTATTGTTATTGATACTATTAGGGCAGCTAGGTGGCAGAGTGAATACAGTGCCAGGCCTGGAGACAGGAAGACCCATCTTCCTGAGTTCAAATCTGGCCTCGACACTTCCTAGTTGTGTGACCCCGGTCAAGTCACTTCACCCTGTTTGCCTCAGTTTCCTCATCTGTAAAATGAGCTGGAAGAAGAAGAGGAAATGGAAAATTACTCCAGCATCTTTGCCAAGAAAACCCAAATGGGATCACAAAGAATCAGACATGACTGTCTGAAATGACTGAACAACAACAACAAATCACATGCCAGGCACTGTGCTAAGTCTGGGGATACAAAGAGGCAAAAGACAATCCCAGCCCTCCAGGAGTCATCCATCCCAACTCCCATGGCCATCAAACTAGTTCAGACTTTCACTATTTACCTAGACTTCTGAACTGGTCTCCCAGCCCCCAGTATCTCCTCCTATCTAATTCATCCTCCATTTTATCAAAATAATATTTTAAAAAACCCATTATTTTTAAATTTTTTTTTAAAAAAATTGAGTTCTGAATTCTCTCCCTCTTTCCTGCTTCTCCCCTACTCATTAAAAAGGCAAGATTATGATATCAATTATACATGTGAAATCATGCAAAACATATTTACATATTAGCCATGTTGCAATAAAAAAAGCAAGAAAAATAAATAAAGTTTAAAAATTATGCTTCAATCTGTACTCAGACTCCATCAGCTCTTTTTCTGGAGGTGGACAGCATTTTTCATTATAAGTCCTTCTGAAGCTCTCTATCTCTTGTTTTGTCGTAAGTTCTTCCCTTATTCATAGCTATTATAAACATTCCTTGCTGCCCTAATTTGTTTATGATATCATCCTTTATGTCTAAAACATGCACTCATTATCATTGTACTGATCAGAATAGCTAAGTCATTCAGAGTTGATCATTGTACAATATTGCTATTACTGTGTACAATGTTCTCCTGTTTCTGCTCACTTCACTTTGTTTCAGTTCATATAAGTCTTCCCAGTTTTTTTCCGAAACCATCCCGCTCATCACTTCTTATAGCACAATAGTTTTCCACCATCATCATATACCACAACTCATTCAGCCATTCCCCAATTGATGGGCATCCCCTCAGTTTCCAATTCTTTGCTACCACAAAAAGTGTTGTTATAAATATTTTTGTACACATACATCTTTTTTCCTTTTCCTTTGATCTTTCTGGGATACAGACCTAGTAATGGTATTTCTGGGTCAAAGAGAATGCACTGTTTTATAGCAATTTGGGCATAGTTCTAAATTGCTCTCCAGAATGGTTGGATCAGTTCACAACTCCACCAACAGTGCATTAGTATCTGAATTTTTTCACATTCCTTCCAACATTTGTCATTTTCCTTTTCTGTCATATTAGCCAGTCTGATAACTGTGAAGTGGTACCTCAGAGTTGTTTTAATTTGCATTTTTCTGATCAATGGTGATTTAGAGCATGTTTTCATATGACTATAGATAGCTTTAATTTCTTCTTTTGAAAACTGACTATTCATATCCTTTGACCATTTATCAATTGGGGAATGACTTGTATTCTTATAAATTTGACTCAGTTCTTTACATATTTGAGAAATGAAGCCTTTATCAGAAAATCTTCCTGTACAAATTTCCCCTCAGTTTCCTGCTTTCCTTCTAACCTCGACTGCATTGGGTTTTTTTTTGTGTGCAAAATTTTAAAAAATTAATGTAAACAAAATTATGCATTTTACATCTAATAATGCTCTCTATCTCTCGTTTGATCATAAATTCTTCCCTTATTCATAGTTATTACAGGTAAACATTCCTTGCTCCCCTAATTCGTTTATGATATCACCCTTTATGTCTAAAACATATACCCATTATCTTGGTATATCTTGTGAGATGTTGGTCTATACCTAGTTTCTACCAAACTACCTTCCAGTTTTCCCAGCAATTTTTGTTAAGTAGTAAGTTCTTATCCCAGAAACTGGGGTCTTTGGATTTATCAAACACTAGATTACCAAGGTTATTTACTACGTATTATGTACCTAATCTATTCCACTGATCCACCACTCTGTTTCTTAACCAGTACCATATTGTTTGATGATTACTGCTTTGCAATACAATTTGAGATTTAGTACTGCTAGGCTGCCTTCCTTCACATTTCTTTTTCATTGATTCCCTTGATATTCTTGACCTTTTGCTCTTCCAGATGAACTTTGTTATTATTTTTTCTAGCTCTATAAAATATCTTTTTGGCAGTTTGATTAGTATGGCACTAAATAACTAAATTAATTTGGGGAGAATTGTTATTTTTATTATATTGGCTTGGCCTACCCATGGGCAATTAATATTTCTCCAATTGTTTAGATTTGTCGCTATTTGTGTGAAAAGTATTTTGTAATTATGCAAAATAATATTTCTAATGGACAGGTCTAACAGTGTCACTTCTCTGCTCCAACATCTTCAGTAGCTCCCTAGTGCCCACCAAATAGGTGACACAGATTATAGCTTTTAGCTTTTGGAGGAATCTTAGGGACCATCTAGCCAGTTCCCTTCATTTTACAGATGAGGAAACCAAATTATGGAAAAGAGAAGTGACTTGTACTTACAAAGCAAATAAACATCAGACTATGGAGTCAAGCTGAGCTCTTGTGACTTCACGCTGGGTACTGCTTCTACTACACTCTCTCTCCACAATCTGGCTCTAGCTTTCCATTCAGACATATTTCACACTACTCTCATTCATGTACCCTACGGTACATGGGCTAGATTGGATGACTTGTGAACCCCTACCCAATTCTGCCTCTCTCTCTCCTGCCTCTGTCTTTGTATGCTTAGAATGGCTCCCCATCTTCTACCACACAAATCTCCTTCTGTTGAAATCTTCCTCTTTCCTCAAGAACTAGCTTAGGTGCCACCTGGAAGCCTTCTCTAATCCTAGCCAGGAGCGATTGATTGCCCCCTCCTTGATTCTTAATAGAGGTTATTTGTATGACCTGTATGATTTCTTCCATGGATTCCATCCTATTTTAACACCACTCATATGGATACTTACTACCTGTGTGACCTTGGGCAATGTCACAACCTCTCTGGGGGAAAAGGGATTGGATAATACGCCCTTTGAGGTTCTCTCTCCAGCTCCAATTATTTGGACAAATATCTTACCTTCCCATTAGATTATAAACTCCCTGAAGACTTGGACTCTATTTTTTTTCATCTTTGTAATCCCAGCACCCAGTTAGGTATATTGCAAAAAAAAAAAAAAATCAATTTAAGGCACTTTTGCTGAATTATATTGAACTGAGTGAATCAATCAATCTGCAGTCATAAAGCCCTGCTTCCTACTCCCCCTCTCCCTACTCTGCGCCAGGCACCATGTTAGGTGCTGAGGATATAAAGACAAGAAAACAATCCCTAATTCTCACAGAGTTCATGTTTTATTGGGAGGAGACACCATTCACAAATGTAAGGATGCGTAGAATAAGTATATGCATTTACATATACTTAAATGTTAAATGAATACAAGAAGAAGCAGGCAATGGTCGTGACCCTTGGCATCTCCCTCTCCTTTTCTGTGGAATCAGCCTCCTCTCACCTCCTTTATTCCCTTCTGTAAAGTGGGTGCGATCGTATTCATCCTCTGTCTATGACTTTCCTAGAGTGGGGAGAATTAAGTCCAGCGACGATCACAAGCTATTTGGAGCGCTGGTAGAAGGTGTGATGGAAAGAGCTCTACTATTTTCCCAGCTGTCGGACCTCCCCACTGGCATTCAATTGCCGGCTGAGATTGTGACTAACACTCTGAGGCCCGTCTCATTAGAGAGCTCCCTCACACCAAGTGTGAAATGCAACAACAAATTCATCATCCCCGGGGCGGGAGCCAGACTCCGCTCTCCCGCTATTTTTTTTTCCCCTCTCCCTCTCTTGCGGCTCCGCTTACTTTGTCTGCGGCAGTGAGTCGAGTCCAGGGTTTGTCCGCTCTCCTGTCATAATCCTGAGCATCGGCCACTTCCACATAGTCACTGAAGCGAATGAGAATCTTTCTTTCACGGAGCTCTTCAACCGTAGGCCTCTGACTGAGCTGTAAGAGAGAGGAGGAGAGATTAGGTACCTAGTGCACTGTCACAGCATCCAGTGCTTTTTAGCTCTGGAAGGGACCTCAGATGCTCTCTGGTCCAATTGCCCCATTTTACAGATGAGGAAACTGAGGCCCAGGGAAGTTAAGGGACTTGGAAGTCACATAGGGAGTAATCATTGGTGGTGGAATTTGAATCCAGGGTCAATGATCTTTTCTGATACCACGCTTCCTCCATGCTGACTTATCTAAAGTCATAATTAGGGCCAGAGTCTTGTACAAAATTTGGGTCTCCTGACTTATAATCTAGAGTTCTTTACGATATGGTACCAACGAGTGCCATTTTCCTTTCTCAAGGCTATTTTTCAGGTTCTATAACTATGGACACAGGCATAGCTGCAGTCAGAACACTTGTTATGCAAAATAAACAAACACATTCTAGAGACTGTTCTTGTTTGACACCATTCTGGTATCATGTGGTTCTTGGCTAGAGCTGGAAGGTTCATTCCCTACTGCCAGTTGGAGGACACAGGGGGAGCAATGGGCATTGCATGGAAGCCAGATTGGGTAACAGGCTTGTGTAATGCTCCTAGGCCATTAGGACCTGGGGAGGTCTAGGCCTCAGGTTCCCCCACCCCTGCAGGTCTCTGGAGTCTAAAGCTGACCTAGAATACTAGGAGAATATACATAGAAACAGCAGAGGTTCTTAACCTGGGGTTTGTGAATTTGGTTGTTTTCTTCAAAAAAAAAAAGCTTAACCAAATTTCAATATATTTGTCTTCCTTTGTAATCCTACTTTATTTTATGTTATTTTATAACATTATTTTGAAAAGGGCACAGAGGTACATAGGCTTCACCAGACTGCCAAAGGGGTTCATGAGAAGTAGCTTGGGGTGGCACAGTGGATAGAGCTTTGGGCTCGGAGTCAGGAAAATCAGAGTTCAAATATGGCCTCAGATACTTATTAACTGTGTGACCCTGGGCAAGTCACTTAACCTCTGTCTCTGTCCCATTTTCTTAATTGTAAAATAGGGATGATAATAGCACCTATCTCCCAGGGTTGTTGAGAGGATCAAATGAGATCATATTTGTTTTGTTTTGTTTTTTCCTTTGGTGAGGCAATGGGGTTAAGTGACTTGCCCAGGGTCACACAGCTAGTAGGTGTTATATGTCTGAGGCCGGATTTGAACTCAGGTCCTCCTGACTTCAGGGCCAGTGTTCTATCCAGTGTGCCATCTCGCTGCCCCAAATGAGATCATACATGTAAAGTGTTTATTATAGTGCCTAGCACATATAGGTGTTATGTGAATGTTGATTCCCTCCCTCTCTTCCTCCTATGACACACAAAAAAGGTTAAGAACTCCTGGTCTAGAAGGTGCTGGAGATTACCTAATTAGACTGACGCTGATCTCTAGAGAAGCTTCAGAGCAGCTCTGGTCTCATTCGGTCACCCCAAGATGTGGAGCTGAAGCAGGTAGCATGACCTGATGTAACCTGCCTTGTTTCAGCGAAGGCTGTAAGGGGAAGGTGAGGCATTTGGGGTGCCCCTAATTATAACAGTTCCTACTATAATTATAAAAAATTATAAAAATAATAAAGCAAAACATTCATTAACGTCCACCGGTCTTAGAACAGCTAAGCAAAGAGGCTTGTGGCGACTATAACTCCTGTTCTAAGCTCCCTATCGCCATCGGGGCTGCAAGTAAGTGTAGCTCTCTTGGCATTTATGGAATTAGTAAGGCTTTCAATGTCCCACTGCCCTGCAATCCAAAATGCTGCATTCCACTGAGCTGTTTGTTGCAGGCTTTTTGGCATGAACAGCCAACTCAGTTTAAAAGCTAATGATGGGGAGTGGGATCTCTGCCCTTAGGTCAAATAAAAGCCAGAGCAAAGCGTCTTGCTGTGTGGAGCCCTTGTAATAAATGGATACAAAAATCCATCATTATTAAGACCGAATCTTTCTGCTGGGCCTGAATGAGGACTTGGGAGACACAACTGTGTGTTTGCAGTTGGCTATATACATGGTGTTAGGCTAGGGGCAAGGGGGACTTGGGGAGAGGACATGTGGGAGGGAAGATGTGTCCATAGTTATGCTCTGTGTCATCTGAGGGAATCTGATTCTTCTCCAAGCTCAGGTCTGTGGGGAGCGGTGGTGGTTTGAAGTAGGCCATCGGGTGGGAATAGGTAGCAGTTTCTTTCAACTTGTGGGCTTTTATAATAAAAATATATAATTTCACACCCCCCAAAGCCAGGAAATTCATTGAGACCAAAGAGTTGCTAGTTTCTAAAAGTCAAAACTAAGGCAGGGAGAAAGGAGGAAAGAAAGGACCACTATTCTCTCTAGGTTTGCTCTCTGGACACAACCAAACTAAAAATCTACCTTACTGAGTAGGAATGTTACGATGGACGCAGCTACCACTGCTACTAAAAAGCCTGCCAGGTACTATATCATTTGCTTTCCTGTCTTACAGAATTTATTATAAAATTAAGTGGAGGTGATTTATTGAGGAAAGGAAAGGGCTAGGAGGAACGTGTCTAGTAGCAGTAGAAAGACCAGCATCTGGCTTGTCTGTGATAAGGGCTCAAAAGAAATAGAATTATGGGACAGGAAGCAATATATAATCCCCACCCTGCTCATCAACTTCCTCACCTCAGCTCAGCCTCTCGCAATTTGGGGCTGCAAATAGAGATATGTGACCACACTATATTCAGGGAAGCTGCCTTCTCATGCTTCCCTCTGTCATACCACACTGCACAAAGTTGTCCCTTCACTCAGGCAGGCACCCACAATTTAGTTCTCAGGCAGCAGACTGATAACCATTGAGGGTGGCTAAAAAGGAAATGACGATGCAGGAAGTGATTTCCTTTGGGAAGTTGGGAGTGGGTTTTAAATCTTGCTTTAGGTACCTGAGAAAATGACCCAACTATTATTGCTTTTTAGGGTTGTTTTCTTTTGGATTTGCCTGATGCACCATGAAAAATTCATCACCATTGGCCCTGACAAGGACAAGTTATTGCTTAGGTGTTTGACCTGAGACTCTGTAAAGTTGTGTAAAGCTTACTTCACTCTTTCAAACAAACTTGAAATTTTAAGGAATTGGTATGTCTAATCAATCATGACTTTTAAATTTTAAAACTTCTTCTGAGTTCCTAAATTTTTTGGGGTATCTTAGGGGAGCAACTAGTTATTTTCAATCATTTCAAGTAAGCTGTTAGGCTGTTCCTTTTACAGACATAAGCCAATTTGTTTTATTTGCTACAAAGGCCAAGGAAGGGGTATAGAGAACCCAGGGGAATATGTCCAAGCCCCTTGATGGAGATAGTTTATGCTTGGTTAATGCTTTAACTGTTTTTGCAAAATACTTCCCTCCCATGGCTTTTATGAGGCAAGGAGTAGAAATATTATCATCTTCATTTTAATGATCAGGAATCTGAATCTTCAAAAGGTTAAATGACTTGCCCAAAGTCCTTTGGGCTTCACTGGATTGATAATCTCCTTTTTATGAATGAGATCTACCAGGTAGCCTACAGCCCAGGGTCATGGGGTTAGAGCTGAGCTGGTTGATTCAAACCCAGGTCCCCTGAATCTAGGCTCGGCTTTCTTTGCACTATAGGCTACACTGCCTCTCCAACAAGGTAGTGTTCTCTAGACTCATGGGACAGGGAACTGCAGTCTATACTACGTGGTGATGGCAACTGTTTCCAAAGTCTTCAATCTGGCTATGGTTGATCTCCAAAACAACGGTGAGAATTTAAAGGATTGAGGCCCTGTTTAAAGGTCTTTCCACACTTGTGATGCTGAGCAAGTCACTTGATCTTTGGGGAATGCTGTGGTGGCACCATATGTTTGGAAGAGCACTTAGGAAGGTGAGATTTGTAAACACAAATCATAATTTTTTAGTAAGGATGATTTTCACAGGTTCCCTAAATTGACTTATTTGTATAACTAATGGATAAAAGTAAAGATCCACTAATAAATATTTATTAATTTTAAAGGATCTGTTGTCTCCACGGTTTGGATATTGGTTCTCTGAAAATGCAGACTATAAGAAGCTAAGGATGTTGTGTTTAATAATAATAATAAAAATAGGTGCCATTTATATGGCATTTCAAGGTTTACAATCTCATTTTATCCTCATAACAACCCCATAAGGCAGGGGCTATAATTATCCTCATCTTACAGATAGGGAAACTGAGGCGGAAAGAGGTTAAGTGATTTGCTCAGGGTCATAACTAAGTGACTAAGAAAGGATTTGAACTCTGGTCTTCCTGACTCCAAGTCTGGCATTCTGTCCTCTATGAATGTGGTTTTCTGTCTTCTTCAGTGTCTCATAGATTCATTACTCTTGTCAATATCACCAAAGAACTAACCCAGAATAACTCAGTGAAGGGTCCTATTGTTAAAGAGGTCACTCTGATGGTTTTAAGAGGTTTTATAATTAGCACTTATATTTTTACAGGCATTGTAATACTTCAGTTGCCAAACTTTTGAACTGAGTGATTTAAAAACCAGTTTTTTTTTGACCAATTGATTTAAATTGGGGCTTTTGAAACTCCTTCCTTTGACTGAATAATCTCAGTATTGCATTCTTTGAATAATTCAGTCTGGATGGCAACCTAAGTGCATTTATCAGAAGGACAAGAAACATATCGTAAGAATGGAGAAATCCATTCTCTGATTACTGGAGAATTCAGTTTTCTGTCTAGATTGGTAGTTTTGAGAGACCCCTACCATATAGGGTTAAGGGGTCATGACAGTGTGTTGAAAATTTAATAATAGATTTTAAAAAATTGACTTTAATTGAGAATAAAATAGACAGGGAATGTCACCCTGTCCAGGGGACTCAGAATGACTAACCTAAAAAGTTGGGTGCAGGGTCTAACCAGAAGTCAGGGCTACCCCTCGCTAATGGCATTGAGGTTGCATTGCAGGTTGCTGATGGAAAATGGCCACCAAATGACCACTGAAGCAACACCAAGGCCACACAAAGGGAGGAAAGGGGTGGCCTGGCGTCTCCAATCAAGTCCTCCAGGATTATCAGTCAGTCCCCTCTCACCTTTCGGGTTAGCCGCCTCTTGATCTCTCGCTTCTCTTCTTGCTCTTCTTGTTCATTCCGAGCTGGAAGAGATACACAAGATTCTTTTGATTTCTTGTCAGTGGCCAAAATAGAGGTGCATCATCGAAGTTTTTATTTACGTATTTACTTCTTATACACTACTCTTACAGGGTACTTCACATTCCACGAAAAAGTCCTTCTGAGAATAGAATGGCCCCTGCCTCTAGTCTCTTCTGGTCTTTTGCCTTTCTTTCGTCATATACGTTAGGAAAGCTTTCCAAATTGTGTGTGCTCATTCAGCATGGTCTAAACAGTAATTATTAAACTTCTAATTGTGGTTTCTTTATTTCTTTTGGTCACCAGTCCCCACGCGATGAGTAAGCGTGTTAGCCTGGCTATCAGAGGATGAAAACAATCGTGATGTTACAAGAAACGCATGGAAAACTTTTGAAAAGGCTTTGGGAATGAAACAGGATATAGTTTTCTTCCTCCAATGTGGCTGCTGGTTTGCCTCATTGCCCAGACAACCCATTCAGAGTAAGCTACAACTTACAGGTTCATCTGCCTCACAGAGACAAGCCTAGGGCTCATTATGATATGCATCTTTCCCCTAACTCAGCATGGGGACAAAATTGAGGGTACCTAAAGGGGACCACCTGCTACAAAAAAAAGCAAAAAAGCTAAAACTGACGCTAAGACCTCAGTGGAGGTCAGACAGGAGAAATCCCAGAAACTTCTACTTTCAGAAATTCCCTGAATAAACCCTTAGAATTATCCAGATAACCAATGTGGTGTTTCTGGGTCTGGGCTGTTAAATGGATGTATGCAGCAGCATGTGGCTATTTGCAGTCTCATATGAAGTCTCATATGCGAGCCCCGAGGGCTCAGGAAATTAATTCACGAATGTGCTACTGTAGGGTTAGTGAGGTAGAAGGATTAATCGCTCATTTTTTAAGAACCAGATGCAAGATGGTTGAGGAAAGAAAGCTCAGGCTTGGAGGGCAACAAGCCTTCTCTCTGGTTCACTGAAGGCCCTTACTAAATCATCCTATCCTAGAAGTCAATGCAGAACAGTGGAAAGAGCACTGGCTCTAAAATCAGAAGACCTGGATTCAAATTCTACTTCAGTATGAACTTGGGCAAGTCACTTAACTCCTGGGGCCTCAGTCTTCTCACTTGTGAAAGGAAGAGGTTGTATTAGATGATTTCTGAGCCCCCTTCCAGTTCTAGCACTAAGATTCTATGATCATTTGGTATTCCCACACTGAGATACAGAAATAATGGGACAATGCCTCAGAGGACCCAGCATATAGCAGGCATTTAATAAGTGCTTGTTGATTTGACAGATTGCTTCTTGCTTATAGGATATCAAACAGTTAATAGTGGCACAGGGAAACATTTTAAAGAAGTTTTGATTGACTGAACTTCTGAGAGGGAGCAAAAACAAAAGATGCTTATCTTTTCTCATTTGCATATGGAAAATTGGGCACCTAGGTAGATCCAGTGCTGGACCTCGAGTCAGGAAGACCTGAGTTCAAGATTGGCCTCACGCACTGACTAGCTGTGTGACCCTGGGCAAGTCACTTAACCCTGTTGGCCTCAGTTTCCTTCTCTGAAAATGAGATGGAGAAGGAAATGGCAAATCACTCCAGTATCTTTGCCAAGAAAACTCCAAATGGGGCCATGAAGAGTTGGACAAGACTGAAAACAAACAACAATAAATATGTTGAATATATGTGTGTGTGTTGTACATATATATATATTATATATATATATAGAGAGAGAGAGAGACAGAGACAGAGAGATAGAGAGAGAGACAGGCAGAGACAGAGAGATAGCAACAGAGAGACAGAGAGACAGAGACAGAGAGAGAAAGAGAGAGAGAGAGAGAGAGAGAAATCAGAGATTACCTAGTACAAAATCTATTTCACAGATGAGGAGGAAACTGCTGCACAGGGAGGTTAAGTCATTTGCCTAAGGATATACATGTCACAGTGAACAGTAGACCTAAGATTTGAACCCAGTTCCTTTGACCCTAATCCACTGTCTACTGTTCCAAACTGGCTTGGTCAAGGTAACAAAGTTAGAAAGTGAAACCAGGAATAGAGCCAGGCTGCCACGCTTACCAATGACATTTACATAGATTAGATTCAACTCACAGTGAAGGGACAATTCCCTGATCAAAGCCAATCTTATGTGAAAGCAGAGTAAGAAGTTGGTTGCCTACATGATGTGATTTGAGGAATGTCATCAAAAGGCTATATACTTCCCCCCCCAAAAAAAAATTTTGACCAAACCTAATGATTACCAAAAAGATTTTTTCTCACTAGCCTGATACAATATTGAAAATTACCATTTTTAGGGATTATATAGGGTTTAAAGATTATTTCCTATGAGTCACCTTTCAAAATGTAATATACCTCTTGGAAAGAAAATACATTAAGCCACTACTAAATCATTAACATAATTTATGACATATAAATTATTGTGTTGGAAATTAGGGTTACTTCACAAGGCAGGAGTGGCCATGAAAGGTGAGACACTGGAGAGAGAAATTCTGAGTGAGGAAGAAGGACTGAAGGGGAAACTCGTAGCACTCCGACCTTCTAAGATGTCAGGCATGGATGGTGTGTCCCCAGAGGTGTTGGGGGTTTGGAATGGGAAGAGAGAGACCTTCTTGAAAAGACATGGCAGAAACACAAGAGCACTGGGCCCCTGGATTCCTGGGTGTAGAGGTGATAGGTCACAGCCAAAGTCAAAGTTCAAAGAAGCACAGAATGCTGGATACCTTAAAGATAATCTTGTCCAGTCCTCTCATCTTATGAGTGAGAAAGAGGTCAAGTGACTTGCTGAAGAGAGCACAGGTAAGACAGGACTCAGGTCTCCTGATGTCTAGGCCAGTAGCATTTTTTTTTTAATACACCACACTGCCTTCACCCAACCTTGCATTTTTGCTGAAGACTGACTAACCTTGCAGATGATTATATGGGACAAACCTCAGGTCGGAAGTGAACTCCCTCTGATTGCCATTGACCAGTGCCCAGAAGCCATGGGGCATACATTCCATGAACAGCATGGTGGGCTTGGGAATCTTAGCTGGCCCACTAACAAAGCTCCTGAAATGAAAACCTAGACTGCCTAAAGCCTCCTCTGGAGATAAAAGCACTTTCTAAACAGGAGGAATGTAATAAATACAGGAGTTGTCATAGGGAGGGTCAATGACCTCACTACTGTGGTCAGTGTCAGTTAATAGTGTTCATTATGTGCTCATATACCTAGGATGTTGCTGTACAAGAAGTAGAAGGGGGTTTGTCACTGAGCAGGTTGGGCCTAGTCATTATTTATATGTCTCTTAAAGGTTTGCGAGGGCAGTCAGGTGGTATAGTAGAAAGAGTGCCGGGCCTGGAGTCAAGAAGACCTGAGTTCAAATCTGGCCTCAGACACTTATTAGCTGAGTGACCCTAGGCAAGTCGCTTCACCCTGTTTGCCTTGGTTTCCTCATTTGTAAAATGAGCTGCAGAAGGAGATAACCCCAAATGGGGTCAGGAAGAATCAGACGTGACTGAAATGACCGAACAACAACAACGACGATTTGCTGAGTGCTTCACACTCACTGATTGTCTCATTTGGTCATCGTAACAGTCCTGGCAAGACTGGTCTACGGTATGATTCGCTTCATTTTCTAAATAAGGAAACTGAGGCTCAGAAAGGTTGTTGCTCGTCCAGGGTTCACAGATTGAGAACTGGAAGAGACCCTAGAGGCCATCTAGTCCAATTCTCTCATTTTACAGATGAGGAAACTGGGGTACAGAGAAAGATCAATTGATTTGGCTAAGTTTACATAGCTAGGATATGACTGAGGTAGGATTTAAATTTAGATCTAATTCTAAATCCAGTTCTGGAAGTTCCAATTTATGATTTCTGTCTCTACTGCCAGATCATTGTCTCTTTTCTCCCTCTCTTTTACCGTAATAGCGATAGCCGACATTTATCGAATGCGTTAAGGCTAATGAAGTGCTTTGTGTACATGCACTATCTTGTTTAATCCTCACAACAATGGCAGTATAAGTATTATTACTGCCATTTTATAGATGAGGAAACAGACTCAGAGAAATATAGCGGTGTTTCCTAAGTTGCTGATGTTTAGTTGCTTTTTTTTTTTTCCAGTTGTGTCTAACTCTCTGTGATCCCATTTGTGCTTTTCTTGGCAGAGATACTGGAGCAGTTTGTCACTTCCTTCTCTGGCTCATTTTACAGATGAGGAAACTGAGGCAAGCAAGTTTAAGTGACTTACCTAGGGTCACATAGCTAGGAAGTGTCTGAGGCCAAATTTGAACTCAGGTAGATGAGTCTTCCTGACCTTAGGCAGGATACTCCATGTACTAACTGTCTTTAAGGTCACACAATTAATATAGTTGCCAGGATCAGTGCTCAAACCCCGTACTCTGGGTACTACAATCCAATTCCTTTTCTCCTTTACTGAATGGCCTAAGAAGATCCAAAGCACACAATAAGAACCACAAAATCTATCTGAAGGAGCTAGAATTCTCTAGAATTTCTAAAAAATGATCAATTAAAAAAAGTCTGCCAGAATTTTGTCCTTCATGGTTTGGGGTGAGTTTTAGAAAAACTCTGGATTTTAGAAAATGGCTAAAGGACCAAGACTTGAATTTCGTCAGGCATGGCTTGAAGTAGCAGGGCTTTTGGGGGGAAGGACACTCTGAGCTGTGGAGCAGGGAACAGGGAAAAAATAGTTTAAACAAGCCTCCTTTTTTCTCAACCCCAGATTTCCTCAGTCTATAGCTAAATCTCTGCCTGCTTCAGGAATGGATGCCACCCACATCCCAGCCTGCCAGGCTAGCAGTCTAGGTAAGAAATGTCTCAGATAGGTAATGAGCCCTGGAATAAGGAAGACAGGCCTGGATCTGAGACCAGTTACTAATTGCGGTACCACAGACAAGTCACTTAACCTCAGTGTACTTCCTCGACATGGCTGACTGGCTGTCAAGCTGGGAATTGGGGGGGAGGGTGCTGTGGGATTTTCATCCCATTTCCTAGACAGCCTTATCACTGCTTCTGAAACAGAATGCCTATCAGACTGCTGGACTTGCAGTCAGGAACACCAGGATTTGAATTCTACCTGAGACACATCCTAATTATGTGTAACTCTGGGCAAGTCACGTCACATCAGCCAGCCTCAGTTTTTTTATCTGTAAAATGGGGATAACAATCTGTCATGCTTTACCTCACAGGCCTGTGAGGGTCGAGTGAGATAATACTTTGTAAATCTTAACTTGCTGTATAAATGCCAAGAGTTATTATTGTTGTCATGTGGAAAGTAAGCATTTCCATGAAGGTTATTTCAGTTTGCTCAGAGGTAGTGTGGTGATGGTGAAAGAGAACTGTCTCCAGGGATAGAGGGCCAAAGTTTAAATCCTGTCTCTGATAATACTTCCATGACTTTGGCACGACCCTTCACATCACAGCCCAAGGGCTGTAGGTTCCTTATCTATAAACTGAGATGTTTGCCCTTCATGGCCTCAGAGATCTCTCCCAGTTCTGACTCTATGGTGCTTGGCTAGGCCCAGTTGGGAAAGCCTTATTATAGGGACACCATTTTTACCGCAAACTCTGAAATCTCAAACTGTGCTTCAAAAGATGAACATGGCCTTGAGATTTGGTGCTTCTTGGGGCCAAGGGAGAAGAAGAAATGGGATATAATAAAGGTGGCTTGCTTATATTTGTGGCTGTTTGATTTCTGAGATAAACAGGAGACCTCAAGCAGGTTTATTTTTTTCTGTCTTTTCCTATCTCCAGTTTTCACAATGACAAGTATATAATGGATCAGAGAAGATCAGACGGGAGCTGAAGAGCTCGAAACCATCTCAATGGAATTTTCCCCCTGACAATGAAAATCACATAGAAAAGATTTCAGTTCTCTCGTAGGAAATACTGCTTTTACCTCCTGCCTTCTAATTTCCCATTCAGAAAGAAACTTTCTAAGGGGACTCTTGAATACTCAGGAAAATAGAAGCAACTCCCTTGCAGTGTGGCAGGCACTGGATGCATCTTCAGAATAAACTCTGACTGAGGGGGAGGCAAGGGGTGGTGAGGAGAAACCCTGTGGAAGGGGGGGTGAAGATAGAAAACATAAGAATGATGCTTTGGGATAGAATTAGCTTGAAAAATCTTGATACTAGACTGTCCTCTCATCTTTCCATGCCTCAAGGAACTTGGGACTGACCAAGTTATTTCATTACACTAATAAGGAGCTTTACAGAAAAAGTAAAATCAAAGAAATTGCAATGTTAACGAGAGGGTGAACTCCCAGTTATTAAAATTGGAGGTAACATATATACACATACTCATATATGTAGAAGTGTGCATTTTTTTCTTTCCTAGAGAAAAAATTAAAATGTATGAGAAAGATCAGTAATAGCAAAACTACAAAAAGTTCATTTACTCTACTTTCTGACCCATGAGGTAGTTCTTTAGCAATCAATATTGATATACATACATATTTTGCACATGTCAATACCTATATATCTATACATATATGTCCATACAACATGTACTTATAAACGTATATATGCATATGTGCATTTATACATATAAACATGTACACACACATAAACACACAATACATAATACATATATACACATACACACACATATACATATATATATATATATGTATATATATATAAATAAATTTCCTGGGGCAACTTGCCTCATATCTACATGAGAAGCATCAGGAACCTTGGATAGATAATGAACCTTGGACTCAGAAAGACAGACCCGGGTCTGAGCCCAGCCTCTGAGACCAGTTACTAACTATGGTATCATAGACAAGTCATTTAACTTCTCAGTGCCCACAGAAACTCTCTAAGAATATAAATAACAAATGAATTGTTGATTTGCAGTCATAGATGGAGTTTCCAGTTTTGGTGTTCTTTATATGCATGGAAACACAAATTCAGATAAATGCATATATACACACATATATACAGACATACACACATGTATACATGTATAGTCCTAGTTACTATCACATGTACATGTATGCTGTACGTCCATATGGTATTCTGCACGTGTATATGTGTATATATACTATTTACACACATTCATACATTTATCTATGTATCTATGTATATATACATGTATATGTGTATATACATATGCACAAATACATACTATATATATTTGGAGAGACAGAGAAAGATTCACAAATATAATCACATAGAAAGAGAGAGTAAGGTGAATTGAGATAGCTATTATGACAAAGAGATTGGCAGCAGTTGGCGTTGGGGAGGGTGGAGGCAGAAATAAATTTTGTTTTTCTAAATGTTTCCTATGCACTACCATAATAAAGGCTATTGGGTTTCATGAAGCAACTGTCTCCTTTATTTTTAGCAGTATGTCTTTTAAAAAACATTTTAATATTAAATGACTGTTCCCAATAAATCTCCACATATTTCTTTTCTTGAACTAAAGGGCTTATTTATTTTTAAAATCCACTATTACAGAGAAAGTAGGGCTATTCCTGAGGTTCAGCATCAAGCAGGAATATCATAACCAAGTTGTAGGAATTTTAAGAAACAGAATAAGTACTTTGGAACACATTTGGTAATACTTTCTTAGGCTCCAATTTTAATGGTCAAAAGGATGACCGACTTCATTTCTATCAAAGTTTTGACAAACTTTACTCTCTCCCAGCTCTTCTGCTGGTGGTTCCCTTATCTTGGTAATCAATATTGTTCTCTGATTTCCTTTTAGTCGATTACTGATTTTTTCAAAGTGGCCCTCTAAAAAACAAAACTCTTTTGCTGATGATGTATTTTTCTCCTCTGTTTTACATGGCACTTCTGGCCATAAGACCAAAATTAAAATGATTGTGATAAGATGATGTCCACATTTTGTAAGGTTTAAGTGAGGACAGCCACTGCTGACTTGTTGTGTTTACTGGGAATTTGTCTTTGGTGTCCACATCATAGTAGATGTTCCCTTAATTTTTAAGAATACTCTTCACTACTGGTCTTGCCTAGTCAGAGCTGTACCCAGAAGAGTGTGTGTGTGTGTGTGTGTGTGTGTGTGTGTGTGTGTATGTGTGTGTGTAAAGTGGCTACAACACCCTCCAAAGACCAGAGATTCTTAGAAGTCACTTACGTTTCAGAATGTTTCTTTGCTCCAACTCCTCAGCAGTTGGCCTCTGGCTCAGTCGCCTGCGGAAAAAATCCAGGAAAAGTTTTTGGACCATATCACATCCTTCTCAAATCGCTATTCTTCACTGACCGTTCTCCACACATGAAACAGGGGGAGTGGAGGACGAGCTTGGTCCATCATGTGTTCTGAAGGGCTGAATCTCCCCGAGGACACTTTTCTTCTCAGTTCCTCTATTTCAAACCCCAGGAAAGACACAGTGTGTTGTGTCATGGTAAAGCTGACCCTCCTCCTTCCTCTTTTCATTAGCCCCTCCTTCCCTGCTCCCTGCCCCCACCCTCTCTGCCTTCTAGGCAAGTTAAGTGAAACTTAGACTGGACACATGTCTTCACAGAATTTGCTTCCTCTCACTGCTGACTTCCCAACCAGGACTATGACTTCTTTTCTCCCTCTCGATGATGTAGTCAATTTTGAGGCCTGTGCCCAGTTTTCTCAGTCCCAGTTGAAACATAAAGAAATCCCCAGTCAATGGAGACTTAATGGGGCATGTCTGAACTACTTAGTACAATAGGCCTTCTTCTTCTTCTGGTCTCCACCCCACCACCATCAATGCTTTATTAGACTATGAAATGACAAAATGAATAGGATCAGAAATGACACTCTTGTGCCAGGCACATACTTTATTTTTTTTTTTTTTGCCTTAGCAAATAAAACATCACCAAGGGCCATAGGGTGGCATGACCTCAAGCCAGCAGGAAGAAGAGTAGGAAGAAAAACCTACACATAAGAATATGAGTATCAGTGACTGGAATGGGAAATATGAATGGTACCCAAAGAGGTAACCACATACTTTCATTCTTATAAAAAGGTCCAGGAATGATAACACTTAACACAGTGCAAGTGGGTATTAACAGAGAGGCTTGTATTTTCTGAAGGTTTTAGTGATTATGAAATCAGCCTGCAATTATCAAGAATTCTCCACTGCCCTTTGTGATGAAGTGTTTGCGAGGAGAAAGTTCTGGAAGGAATGCCAGGCTTCCCAGAGTATTCCATTGTGATTTAGTGATGTGTTGTAATTAATGGAATTCTCGACACACAAACGCTGTTAACTCCTACTGGTTACCAACTTCCACTCCTGGAGAGATTGTTAGATTGGGGCTCTGTGCAGTGAGAAACTTCAAGGCCTGATGATTTCTAAAAATTTCTATCAATATCTCCATCTCTATCTGATGCCCCAGAATAAGCACCTAGAGGCTATCCCAGGGGACAAGCCAGTGTGGACAGGTGAACAGGTCTTATCAAACAGGAAAGACTGCAAATTTAGGCACAGCAATTGCCTGGATGCTTGTCATTTGAAGACTCCCTACGTTCAGAGAGACTTGTAGTCGGGGTGTTGGGAACAGATGATATGTTGACTTTTAAACCACTGAAACCCATGGAGACTGTCAAGGAAGGCAAGGAAGGGAATGCTATCTGCACTTGGTGGAGGGTATATCTACCCACACTGATGAAGTCATAGATCTTTAATATGCTGAAGGATCTTCAGCTATGTCTATTCTTACTTCTCTGGTAATAATCATTGCTCTCAGTTTTAGTGACGTTAAGCCATGATCACCTGATTCACAGATGCTGAGGAGAAAAGCAAAGGATAGGTTTAAGAGAAAGGGTTTGGGTTAAACACAACCAAAAAAATGCTGATTATAAAGGTTGCGACACCTGCAAATTGTTAGCCACTGGCTTCTCTGGGCCTTTGTTTTCCTCATCTGTAAAACTGGAAGCTGGAAGGGACAAAAGCCCTTCTATCTCTAAAATATTAGGATTCTGCACTAAAATCAAGGCAATGGAGTAGAAACATTGTGCTTAGGACCCACATTTCTTGATTTTTTGTTTGGGATTCTTGTCTATTCCCTTCTCTAGTTTTTAATCCTGGCTCCATTCCCCTAGCCCAACTTTGAAGATTTCTTTTCCTCCTCCCCCCAACTAGTTTTATTTAAAACACAAATACGTCTTTCTCTGTAATGACTAATGGTTCAAATGATGCTGAACATTAAAATAACAGCTCATATTTATATAGAATTTTAAGGTTTGCTGAATGCTTCAATACATTACCTCATTTGATATATATACATGTATGTACATACATACATATTACATATGTACATATGTATGTAGTATAATATACATACAGCTATACCTGGGATAGTTCTTGGTAATGGGCAGAGATTCCAGATTTATGAAGGGAGAGCTCCAGGGATCCTACCTCTATTAAAACAACTCCTACTCTTTGCACATTCTTTAAGCAACTGAAATCATCCATGGTTCTGGGTGGTACATAGAGAAGGGTGTGAGGAGCAATCCATTTTTGGCCTGTGCCAAACATCTTACTGTGATTCCATTACCACAACTCCTTTCTGTGGTGATCTTTTTATTATTTTATTTTAGGACTCACTTTGCTAGGAATAGGGATAGGAGGGGCATAGAATCACTTATCTACCCATAGGTGACAGTAGGGTACAACTTGGGGTCCGCTGGTGAATGTTTGAAAAAATGCAAGGAAGGACACACTTCAAATTTAATCTGCATCATTAACATTTTCTTCATCACTTTCTCAAACCTAGACAATCAACAAAACAATAAATCAAGCCCTGATTTGCAGTGTTTAGTGATTACTGAGGTGTATATGCTCACACTGCAAATTTAACAATTTGCAAGCTAGTTGGAGCTGCCTCCATCAAGAAATTTCGTGTCACGAGCAAGGCATTCTTAAGGAAAACGTTTTATAGTCCTATTCTCCACTTGTTTCTTCACGATGTCCAGAAGAAGTGAGGAATCCCCCCTCCCTTGGTCTCAAAGTAATGGTACTGTTGATTACACAGGCTTGTCTGATTAATACCATTAATAGTGAGGAAATGATTTCCATAAATCAGATGGTGCCTGCTCAGTATAAACCAATGCTAAACGATTCACATTAAAATCAATCTGGAAAATCACCTGCTTCCTGCTCTAAATGCTACTCAGTGTCATTCACCATAAGTGGGTTTTCTTTTTCAAATGGAATTTAAAATATGAACTTGGCTTGTTTACTCTCAGTTTGGATGGTTTGGGCTGTACTAGTGATTGAGTGAATGGAACTCAGACAACACATAATTAAGTACTATGGACAAAACACTGCTCAAGGTGCTAGGAGGAATACAAAGACCAAATTAGACATTGTTGCAGAAAAGATTACAGCACAAAATGGAACATATTAGATCAGTCAACAAGAGAGCTATCAAGTGCTATATGAGCTCTATGAAAGGACTGTATCTAAAGGGAAGGATGAGAGTAGGGGAAGCAGAAAGGGTGTTAGAAGGGCATTTGAGCTCAGTCTCAAAGGATGGCTAGGAATTCAACAAGCAGAGACTGTGGAAGGAAGAGTGAGGGGTGAGGGTGGTGATGGGGGGAGAGTGTTTCTGGTCCAGGGAATGGTACAAGCAAAGGTGCATAGTTGGGAAGGTAGAGAGCTCTAATGAGGGATTCTTTCATTTGGTATATAAACCAGTTGTGGGGTATATTCACCCTTTTCATTTTTGATACTAGTGATTTGGTTTACTTCCTTCTTTTTTTTAAATCAAATTTTAAAATCAAATTTGTTTATCTATTTGATTTTTTTTCATAAAACCAACTCCCAGTTTTATTTAGTAATTCAATTACCTATTAATTCAATGATTTTTTCACTAAATTTTATTAATCTCACCTTTAATTTTTAGGATTTCCAATTTAAAGTTTAATTGAGAAGAGGGGGTGAATTTTGGTGGTTCAGAGGACAATTTTTCAAGGAAAGAGAATGCATCTGGAGCCTGCTGCCATAGGGGATGGGACGAAGGTGGCACCAGAAGGGAAGTACTACTACATTGGGATGCTGGGTGTGGTTGCATGAAGGAGATTATACACAGCAATATGGGCCGAGAGCTGGGATAGCAATTGCAGTGGGGAGGGAGGAGACTACCCTGGATATTGGGCACAGGATATGTTTGGGGGATGCTGAATAATCACTTTGGTTGGGGTTTAGAGTACAAAGAGGTGAGCAGTGTGAGACAAAGCTTAAAGGGTAGATTGGAACCAGAACGTAGAGGGATTTAAGATCTAGGCAGAGAAGGTTGAAATGGGATATCATTAAAGAGATGTCCTCCCTGTCCCTCAGCTTTCCACCATGAAACAATGAACTAAGAGTAACAAGGTCTGGATATCTCTTCTTCAGCATAAAAGGACCAAGAGAGAAATGGAGAGACAATCCTCAGCTGGGGACACCAATTTGCTTATTGCCCGAATCCTAAATATAGCCAACATGGTGGCAAAATGGCTTAGACATAGAGCCTTTGGAGCCAGAAGGCATTATCTCTGTAGATTACACCGATGCCCTAGGAGTCACAAAATCCTTATAACTTCCCTGGTAGGAGCACTGAACACTGTGTAGGATTAGTCTGATTGTACATGCTAATGATGTTTCTGCTTGTTTGACAACAGCAAGGTCACAGCTTTCACTGACACTTAACAACTGTTTCTGTTTCTGCTGTTCTGAATTTAAAGTCGGGTTCTCTGCTGCAGCATCAGGATGTGCCAGGAAGAAGAAAAATGGAACTGTGCTGACTTTCTGCATGTGAACAGCAAAATGATGTACACAGCGCAGAAGCCAGGGGTAGAAAAGTCCCAAGAGGCTGCCCAAGTGTGACAGAAGCTGCTGCCCCAAAGCACTCATTTCACAGGTAGTAGAAGAGGCACGATTTACCTAAACTGCTTTCAGGCAAAGTCCGAGACCACCATGAGGATGCAGGGACAGATGACCCCAGAGGCAGAATTAGGAGCAATGGTGGAAGTGGTAGAGAGGCAAATTTCAACAAAACCTTCCTAATAATTAGAGATGAATGAAAGTAGAATGGAGAGCTTCAAGGAATATTGGGTTCCCCTTCAATGTTGTTGTTTTGCTGTGTCCAACTCTTCCTGACCCCATGGACCATACTGTCCATGAGGTTTCCTTGGCAAAAATACTGGTTTGCTATTTCCTTCTCTAGTGGATTAAGGC